GCTAAGGCGAGAGCCACATTTTGAAAACCACCCGCCCTCCAGCAGTGAATATGTTGCCATTTTTTAAGCTTCAGGGTCATAATGGTGAAGAAATCTCAGGCGAAACGCCCAGCCCGCCCGAAAAACTGGCCCAGGGGTGCAACAGAGAGAAATTGTTCACAGGAAAAGAATGGAGGAGGAGGAGGCGGAGGAGGAGGAACAGGAGGAGGAGGAAGATGATGATGATGATGATGATGATGATGATGATGATGATGATGATGATGATGATGATGATGATGATGATGATGATGATGATGATGATGATGATGATGATGATGCTGAGGATGGAGGAGGAGGAGGAGGAGGAGGAGGAGGAGGAGGAGGAGGAGGAGGAGGAGGGGGAGGAGAGGAGGAGGAGGAGGAGCAGGAGGAGGAAGAGGAGGAGGACGAGGAGGAGGAGGAGGAGGAGGAGGAGGAGGAGGGGGAGGAGGAGGAGGAGGAGGAGGAGGAGGAGGAGGAGGAGGATGAAAAGGAGGGAGGAGGAGGAGGAGGAGGAGGAAAGAGGAGGAGGCGGAGAGGGGAGGAACAGGAGGAGGAGGAGAAGAGGAGGAGGAGGAGGACGAGGAGGAGGAGACGAGGAGAAGGAGCAGGAGGGAGGACCCCCCCACGGCAAGGAGTTTTGCTGACTCCGAACGCCTGCCCGGGCCGCCGGCAGCACGGCCAGGCACGCCAGCAAGGCCGCCGAAGCGGCGGGCGGGCCGCGGCGGCCCGCGGGCGCGCCATCCCGCGCCGGGCGGGTGCGCCGCCCCGCCCGCGGGGGCGGCGCCGCGGGGGGCGGGCGGGCGGCGGCGGCGGGTCGGGGGATCCCCGGGCCACGGCAGCTGGCGGAGCGGGAGGAGCGGGGAGGATGTGCAGCTTCTCCTCCTCCTCGTCTCGTCCTCGTCCTTCTCTCCCTCTTCCTCCTCTCTCTCCTCCTCTCCATCCTATCCTCTTCTCTCCCCCTCCTCTCTCCTCCTCCTCCTCCTCCTCCTCCATCCTCCTCCATCCTCCATCCTCCTCGTCTCCTCCTCCTCCATTTCCCTCCTCCTCTCCTCCTCCTCCTCCTCTCCTTCTCCTCCATCCTCCTACTCCTTGTCATCCCTCCTCCTCCTCCTCCTCCTCCTTCACCTCCTTCCCTCTCTCATCTGCAGGCTGCGGGTGTGGCGCTGCCTCCAGCGCCAGGAAGCTTAAGAAACCACGCCAGCTTTCCAGCACGTTTGTTAAGAAACGGTCGACCAACTTCACGGGGGGAGGTTTCTTCATCATTTGGCCGACTGTGGTAGGCGAAAAACGGTGTAAAATTCGCCGGCCCAACGGGCCAAAGGCGTGCTAAGATCTCCGGCAACTGCTTTACAATAATTCTACTTCGCGCGCGCGGGGCGGCCCCTGGGGGATCCCCGGATGAAAAGTACCCCGGGCAGGTCCTGGGCGACTCGGGTCAGACATCGTTTTCCTCCTGGGCGCCGCCCTCGAGGCCGTCCAGAGAGCCCCAAGAAAGGCCAAGAGGCCGCCAGGAGCCCCTCAAGATGATACAACAGAGCTCCGAGATGCCACAAGATCGCTCCGAGACGCCCAAGATGGCCCCCAGACGGCCCAAGCGGACTCCAAGAGCACTCTCAAGAGGGCCCCAAGAGGCAAACAATATTGCTTTTCCTTAGGTTTTGAACGAATTTTGGCGTTTCCACCTTTTCGGCTTTCCGACACCCCAAGACGGCCCAAAAGGCCCCCAAGACCGCCACAAGAGGGCCCAAGAGGCCCCCAAGACGGCCCAAGAGGGCTCCAAGACGGCCCAAGAGGCCTCCAAGACGGCCCAAGAAGGCCGCAAGAACGCCCCAAGAAAGGTCCCAGGGTGGGAACACGAAGCGACATTTCGAGCCCTCGGCCCTAAGAAGTCCCCAGGAACCCCCAAGAGGCCCCTACGAGGCCCCAAGAGGCCCCCAACAGGCCCTCAGGAGGCCCCCAAGAGGCCCCCAAGTGGCCCCAGGAGGCCCCCCAAATGCCCCCCCCGAGCACGCAAGCAAGTGCCAGCGACCCGACGCGCTTAAGAGTCCCCAAGAGGCCACCAAGAGGCCTCCCGAAAGAGCCCCATCAGGCAAAACGCTTCCAGACGGCCCGCGACGCGTTCAAGACTCCCCCAGCGGCCACTAAGAAACCTCACATTCCGAACGCAAAACCTGATAAGTTATCCCGGCAAAGCAACCTAACAGCGATGTGTAGGAGCATATCTGGAAGCATCCCCTTAATATTCAGATGAGAATCCAGTTGTAGAGTTCTGCTGTTCTCGCAGTCGTAGTCGCATTCGCGATGACAGTCGCAGTGGCCTGCATGAGCCTCAGCCTCAGCCTCAGCCTGCCTCAGCATCAGCCTCAGCCTCAGCTTCAGCCTGCCTCAGCCTCAGCCTCAGCCTGCTCCTGCATCAGCCTCAGTCTGCCTGCAGCCTCGGCCTCAGCCTCAGCCTGCCTCAGCCTGAGCCTGCCTCAGCCTCAGCCTCAGCCTCAGCCTGCCTCAGCATCAGCCAGCCTCAGCCTCAGCCTCAGCCTCAGCCTCAGCCTCAGCCTTAGCCTCAGCCTCAGCCTGCTTCAGCCTCAGCCTCAGTCTGCCTTCAGCCTCGGCCTCAGCCTCGGCCTGCCTCAGCCTCAGCCTGCATCAGCCTCAGCCTCAGCCTCAGCCTGCCTCAGCCTCAGCCTCAGCCTGCCTCAGCCTCAGCCTGCCTCAGCCAGCCTGCCTCAGCCTCAGCCTCAGCCTGCCTCAGCCTCGGCCTCAGCCTCAGCCTGCCTCAGCCTCAGCCTGCATCAGCCTCAGCCTCAGCCTCAGCCTGCCTCAGCATCAGCCTGCCTCAGCCTCAGCCTCAGCCTGCCTCAGCCTCAGCCTCAGCCTGCTTCAGCCTCAGCCTCAGTCTGCCTTCAGCCTCGGCCTCAGCCTCAGCCTGCCTCAGCCTCAGCCTGCATCAGCCTCAGCCTCAGCCTCAGCCTGCCTCAGCATCAGCCAGCCTCAGCCTCAGCCTCAGCCTCAGCCTCAGCCTCAGCCTGCTTCAGCCTCAGCCTCAGTCTGCCTTCAGCCTCGGCCTCAGCCTCGGCCTGCTTCAGCCTCAGCCTGCATCAGCCTCAGCCTCAGCCTCAGCCTGCCTCAGCCTCAGCCTCAGCCTGCCTCAGCCTCAGCCTCAGCCTGCTTCAGCCTCAGCCTCAGTCTGCCTTCAGCCTCGGCCTCGGCCTCGGCCTCAGCAGCCTCAGCCTCAGCCTGCATCAGCCTCAGCCTCAGCCTCAGCCTGCTCAGCATCAGCCTGCCTCAGCCTCAGCCTCAGCCTGCCTCAGCCTCAGCCTCAGCCTGCTTCAGCCTCAGCCTCAGTCTGCCTTCAGCCTCGGCCTCAGCCTCAGGCTGCCTCAGCCTCGGCCTGCATCAGCCTCAGCCTCAGCCTCAGCCTGCCTCAGCATCAGCCTGCCTCAGCCGCAGCCTCAGCCTGCCTCTGCCTCAGCCTCAGCCTCAATCTGCCTTCAGCCTCGGCTTCAGTCTCAGCCTGCCTCTGCCTCAGCCTGCATCAGCCTCAGCCTGCCTCAGCCTCAGCCTGCCTCAGCCTCAGCCTCAGCCTCAGCCTCAGCCTCAGCCTGCTTCAGCCTCAGCCTCAGTCTGCCTTCAGCCTCGGCCTCAGCCTCAGCCTGCCTCAGCCTCAGCCTGCATCAGCCTCAGCCTCAGCCTCAGCCTGCCTCAGCATCAGCCTGCCTCAGCCTCAGCCTCAGCCTGCCTCAGCCTCAGCCTCAGCCTGCTTCAGCCTCAGCCTCAGTCTGCCTTCAGCCTCGGCCTCAGCCTCAGCCTGCCTCAGCCTCAGCCTGCATCAGCCTCAGCCTCAGCCTCAGCCTCAGCCTCAGCCTCAGCCTCAGCCTCAGCCTGCTTCAGCCTCAGCCTCAGTCTGCCTTCAGCTTCGGCCTCAGCCTCAGCCTGCCTCAGCCTGCCTCAGCCTCAGCATCAGCCTGCCTCAGCATTCAAAATGTGGCCAGGGAATGGAATTCTGGGAACTCGAAGAACACGAAGTGGCCTACAGTTTGCTCCGGGCATTCAAAATCATACCCAGGAATGGAGTTCTGGGAAGTCCAAGAGCACGAAGTGGCCTACAGTTGGCTCCGGGCATCCAAAATGTGGCCCGGGAATGGAGTTCTGGGAACTCGAAGACCACGAAGTGGCCTACAGTTGGCTCCGGGCATCCAAAATGTGGCCCGGGAATGGAGTTCTGGGAACTCGAAGACCACGAAGTGGCCTACAGTTGGCTCCGGGCATCCAAAATGTACGCCGGGAATGGAGTTCTGGGAACTCGAAGACCACGAAGTGGCCTACAGTTGGCTCCCGGCATTCAGAATGTGGCCCGGGAATGGAGTTCTGGGAGGTCGAAGAATGGAGTTCTGGGAGGTCGAAGAGCACGAAATGTGTGACTGTTTGCGAAAAACGAGGTTCCCCGGCAATCCCCAACGGCCCCCCAACGGCCCCCCATCGGCTCCCCAACGGCTGCCCAGACCCCCCTGTGGAGTAATGTGCTGCTCTCTTTTTACACCATTAGAAACCTATCAGTCTTCGCTGTTAGGTAACAAAAAACAACCGCCGCCCCTGCAGCTCCGCACCGCGAAAGACCACTCGGTCAGTCGACAGCGGCGCGCAGTATGGGCCAGCGGAGTGAGTGAAGCGATTCAATAAACTGTTCTGACCCTAGGGGCGCCTGTCCCAGGGCGTCCGGGATCTTTGTGACGCGACGTGCCACCGTAGGGAGATGTGCTTCCCAGCCGCCCTGGGACAGGCGCCCCCTACGGCGAAACAATTTATCTTATATCTCTTCGCCCGCTAGAAAGGACGGAGGGAGGAGCGCAGCGTAGCGTCGTCCTCGCCCCCCCGCCAGCCTCGACTCCCCTCATCTTCAAGTCGAGTTAACCTGAGGTCCCCGAGCGTTGCGCGGGCCGCCGAAAAGTTAATGGGCGGGACTGAAGGAGGATTCGGGCGCATCAGCGTGGGTGTTCGTCCGCGCTGGCGCCTGAGCGCGCCCCGCGCGCTCGGGCGCGGGTCAGACGACCCGCTCGCGGTCGCCGAGGAGCCCCACGGCGACGGCGTGGCGAATGCCAGAGGCGCCGCGAGGGGGATGTGGCCCCCCCCCCCCCCGCGCGCCTCTGGGCAGCTCGTCCAGCTTCTCCATGGAGATGGGCAACTTGCCTGAGGTGCCAGAGGCCAGGGCCTTGGCCAGCATGGCGATCGCCTGCTTGCCCTTGGGCGAAGGACGGGCTCCTTGCCGCGCCCGTCGCCCCGCAGACGAGGCAGGCCAACGCGGGCATCTCGCGCGCGGGCATCTCGCGCTGCAGCTGCCCCCCCAGCCTGCGGCTGGACCCGCGCCGGCACGTGCGCCAGCTCGCCACGCTCACGCAGCCCACGGGTGCGGTCGATCGGCCGCGCCCACGGTCGAGCCTGGGCACTCGCTGGCCCGCTCCGCCCAGCGGCGCTGGCCGCGCCAGCCCGCCCCAGGCGGGCCTCGCAGGTCGCGCTGGAGCTTCGCCGCCACTTCCTGCTTCTTCGCCATCGGCGCCGCCCTGTTGGGCTTCGCAACGCGGCGGGCGGTGTCCGCGCCGTCGAGCGCAGCGCCCGCGGCGGAAGCTCGCGTCGCCACGTCCTCGACCATGCTGTTGGCTGAGCGCAGCTGCAGCCGATCGGCATGCGCGATCCTCGCATACTCGGCAGTGCTCTTCGCGCCTTGTCCGCGTAGTCGTTGCCAGTCCAGTCTCGTGCCGTGATGCCGCCGCCGCCGCCGGCCCTCTGGCGAGCAGCGTGGGCTGGCGCCTTCTCCATCGTGGGCCCCTCGGGCCCCAGGCCGCCGAACTCGTCGATCAGCCTACAACATTCGCGCCCGAGGTGGGCCCGCGCGTGCCCCCACTTCGTAGTGTTTCCCCTGCCGCGCTCAGTCACGACAGCCCTCGCGGGCGGAACAGCGCGCCGAAGCGCGGCCGGCAGCGCGGCCACTTCCCCGCCGTTGATGTCCGCGAAGGGCTCGCACAAGACGCCTGAGACACCAGTCTGGAACGCGTCGGCGCCCGTCTGCAGCGCGATCGCCGCCCGGCCCGCGCTCGTGAACTGCTGGAAGTCGCCCTCGTGCGCCGAGCCGTCCGGGTGCGCGTCGCCAGAGGGGGGCCTGCCATGGCCGGCCTGCCCAAGCCAGCAGAGCTCGGAAGGCCCCGGGGGCGTGGCGATCCCTCTGGGCGCTGGCCGCAGCGCGCGCTCCAGCAAGCGCTGGGCCTCAGCGCGGTCGGCCCCGTCCGCGAACTCGCGCATCTCAATGGGCAGCGGCAGCTCAGGCGGCCAGCCTCCACGGCCCGCGTGCCCGCGCGAGAGCGCGCCCGCGGCGCCGCGCACTTGTCATTCAGCGCGGTAGCCGCAGTCGTACTTCCGCGCCTGCGCCCACTGTCCGTCAGCGATGACGGTGGGCGTAAATCGGGCCGACTTGGCCACGCGGCCTGCTGGGCCAAGGCAGCAGGCCCGAGCGGCGGCAGAGCGGCCTCCGCCGAGGCCGCAGACACTGGATGTGGGGCCACCTCCCCATTGTCGCGCCTCAGGGCAGGAGCCTGGCTGCACGTGCCAACGGCAGCGGGCGCGGGTCCAGTGGCTCCAGAAGGCGCGCCGCTCGTTGGGCGAGCAGCGTCATTAAAGGGGCAGCATCCGCAGGCCCGCCCTCTGGGGCCGTCGACGCACCCTGCCGAGGCGCACTGCGCGCGCGCTGCTGCGCGCCCTGGCCCTGACTGCACGCGACAGCGGCAGCAGGTGCATGCCCGCTGTGCTCAGCGTCGCCACCAGGTACAGGCCGAGGATGGTGATCACCGCCAGGAGGAGCATGTCCACGAACCTCGAGCCGAGGACCAACAACAGCACCTGCGATACCACCTTCGACGAAACTCACCTGGCGGCCGAAGACGCCCGGGCGCTCCACGGTGCCCGAGTTGATGCGCCTGACTAGCGGCTCCAGCACTCCACCGTCTGTAAGATGCTGTAGTCCAGGTCGAGGAGGAGGGCGAGGAGGAGGAGGGGGTTCTTGGTCCTTTGGGATCGTCGAACGCCCGCGCCACGGACGGATCCCTGTCGAATGTTGGGACAGATCTTGAGGTCGATTCGCGAGGGGCGACCGAGAACTCTGGCCACCTGCCGCCGTGGAGCACTTCGAGACGGGCACGACAGAAGAAGGGCCGCGATCAGCTGGCTGCTTACTGCCAGAGGCACTTCATCTCCCGCCGCGACATGCCGTGCGACTCGTGCCTCTCGGCCAGCGCACGGCGGGACAGACCTCGCGGAGACCAGCGAGCTTGCTCGCGGTTCGAACACTCGGCTGCATGGCGCGAGCCCTCGCAGTGCCCACGACGTGCAGATGCGGCCACGGGCGCGATGCCCACCCGCCACTGCTGCGAGACGCAGCCAGGGCGGGACATGGCGGAGCGCAGCCGCAGAGACATACCCGAGTCATCTGAACCAGACGCTCGCAGCGGCCATCAGCGAAGCGGCGCGGACACGGACATGCAGTTCCACGCCCCATTGGACCCCTGCTGCGATTTCCAGAGGAGCACCGATTGCATGACCCATCGGCCTCTTCTACCTCGGTGAACCATGGGATCTGCGGGAATGGGTTTACAACTATCCGGTGCGGCCCGCCATCACTCGGGGCATGGCCGCCTGCAAGTGCTACCTCAACGGACAACTTGAGCTACGCGGACCAAAGGTTCTTGTACGCCTGACCTGGGGGATAACTGCCACTCAATGGACGGTGGCACCGACTGGGACTCACGCGGAGAGCGGAGGAGTTTACGTGGCAGGGGGGGGGGGATGACCTGGCGCGGCCCACCATCACGTGGGGCAAGTCCCTTGATAAGCGATACCTCGACTGACAACTCGAGCTACGCGACTCAGGGGCTCTCGTGCGCGTTACCTGGGGGGCCGCTCCGGATCCCACCTGACAAAATCTACGACCTCAACCCAGAGAAAAATACCCTATCTACCTCCGGACAATTTTCTCATCAATCACGTGATCCACCACACCGCAGACATCTGGCTCAACATTCTCGGCTTCACCGACTCCTGCCAGACCCGCACAGCAACCACCACTAGACGCTCGCATACTTGGGTGCCACCAGCCACAAGTGGAAACGGGAAGCCAACGCCAACTGCACTGACGCCTGCAAAAACTACTTCAGCAGGAACCGCACAGACGCCAAAGACGGCCCAAGAGGACCTCAAGGTCGCCCCAAGATCGCCGCAGAGGCCTCCAAGATGGCCCCATGACGGCCCAATAGGCCCCCAAGACGGCCGCAAGATGGCTTCAAGACGGCCCAAGAGGCCTCCAAGACGCCCAAGATGGCCTCCAGGACGGCCTTGAGGCGCCCCAAAAGTGCCCCAAGTCAGTTTAGAGAACCATCCAAGACTGCTTCCGACGGACCAGGAAAGCCCCAAGACGGCCCAGGACCCCCCCCCCCAAAACACCAAAAGGCCCCGAAGAGGCCGAAGGAGGCATCTAAGAGGCCTCGTAGAGGCCCACGAAAAGCTCCCAAAAGGCCCCAAGAGTTCCCTTCTTCCTCCTCCTCCTCCTCAGCCTCCTCCGCCTCCTCTTCCTCCTCCTCCTCCTCCTCTTCCTCCTCCTCCTCCTCTCTATTTGTCCTCCCTCTCCTCCGCTTCTTCTTTCTCCCCCGCGTGTTCCCCGAAGGGTTTCCACAGCGGCTGGGGGAACGCATGGTGCGACAACTTGGCAAAGCACTTGCCACAACGTTCGGATGCATGGGCGATTCCAAAAGGCAGGGGGCGGCGGTGACTTGCCGTATGCGATTTCGAATATAAAATGATATGAAACTTTTCTTCTGTTCCATGTTAATACGTATTCCTCCTCCCTCTCCCGTTCCCCCTCCTTCTCCGTGTCCTCCTCGTCCTCGTCCTCGTCCTCGTCCTCGTACTCGTCGTTGTCGTCGTTGTCGTCGTCGTCCTCCTCCTCCTTTCCTTTCCTTTCGCACCCCTGCTAAGCGCGTCGCTTTGGTGTTCCTGCTACACTGCTACACTACATACATCCCTGCTGTTTTGGCTCCAAAGCCTCACACCTCCCCGCCTGGCAACAATTCCTTGGCCACTAAATTCAGCGCGTGGAGGTCGCCACCAGAAAAAGACCGGACATCATGCAGCGTGTGTTGAATTAGAGCAGCTCCAACCAAGAGCGCTGTTAATTCTGCCTGGCAATCACTCGCCACATTCAGGGGCACCGTCGCCTCAAACATCAGGTAGTGCTCTGCCTCCCCCGGGCGCGCTCCGTAAAGAACCACGCTTGCACTTGTGCGCCCATCGTCCCACCAGCTGCCGTCGAAATGGATTTTCAACAGTGACCGAGCATGGATGTTCGTGCTCGCGGTAGACGTGGAGGCAAACATTGTGTCCCATTGACGGCGGACAGCACGTATCCTGAAATATACAATTTTGACACGTGCCCCATAAGATCTTCATCAGCTCCGTACACTTCGCACACGATGTCTTCCATAAGCCATTGCACCAGTTGCGCACCAGCAGAGAGTCGCCTATGAAAATGCACCTGGGCCCTCCTGTATGCTTGCTCTGAGCATTCACCATCTCAGCCGGCAAGTCCGGCAGTGGCGCGGATCTCCGACGCTTGGTCTATGGTGCGGCCTTCGACGAGGGGCGCCTGCTGTTCTCAGGAACGCTCATGGTGTAGCCCTGGTATACATAATTCCTGAACGCATCGTATTTGCCTCGCCGCGTCGGTCCGGCAGCCTCCAACCACCAATTCACTCCCACATGCTTCGCACATATATCTTCCCATCGAGCCGATGGGCGCCCAGACCAGGCGTGGCGCGCTCCAGTCTGCCGCGTGCGCTTCGGGCCTTGAGGGTTCACCGCCTGACGCCCCTGCCGCCAGGTGTGCTTCTCCATCACAGTATTTGGGGTAATAGTCGGAGCGTCGGCCCGGGTGACTGGTGATATTGCATCTCCCCCGCCATGCGCCATTGGTTCCGCATAGCCGCCGATGGTAACATGTCTGAGGAGATCTCCAGCAAGGCGTGTTGGGCGATGCGCGTGCAACGCCGCTAGCGCGCCGCGGACGTCTCACCTGGCCTCCGCCAATCGACGCAACATCTTTCGGATCATCATGTTCTCCCATGACTTCGTCCGGAGGAGCGTGCTCATGGTGCATGTCCAACGCCCTGCAGTGAATAATGCCGCCGACCTCACCTTGCGTGCGTATGCCTTCATGCGGTATCGTAGGGAAAGACGCCTGTCGAGGAGAACCCGCGCGGGCTTCCACAAGGCACCCGTCGCTTTCCGAATGCGATGTTCGACCGTCGCGTCCGTCGTCCCATCCCCGCGCGCGGCCCCGCCCAGCATGTCGATATGGTTCGCGGCTGGCACCTCAATCTCGAGACCGTCCTGTTGGATGGAGAAGGCGAGTGCGCCGACCGGCAAGCTGCTCCCCATGTGCTCCAAACGGCTGGGTTTCCAATGCAAGCCGCTCGCGTTCAGGGCGCGCGTGCGCTCCTGAGACATCAGGTGCGTTTCCGGTAGACTTCTCCCGAATATGTACAAATTGTCCGACCAAATCGCGTGTGTGACATAAGAGCCGTGTTCCTCGCAACCGCCAAGCCCTCGATTTTCCCATGACTGCGCCAGGGGGCTCATAATTCTCCGCGCGACGCAATTCCATAAAAACGGTGCACCAAACCCTCCTTGCTTGATGGATTTGTTATCGCAGAAGCGGTGATCCAGAACGCTGTCCATCGAAGACTGGCCATCCGCATCCCCTGGCCACCCGGCCGCCTTTCGGGGCAGACACGTCAAAGACAACGAGAGTTGTTCTACTTTGTGCTCCGCCTCGTAAGCAAATGTCATAACTGAATACCATGATCGAGAATGCTTCCTCAATGCATCCTGTCGTAGAAGTTGTAGCAAGCCATTCATGTACCACTTCGAGAACGCACTCAACATGCACGCGCCCCTGAACTGCGCAGGGGTCGTCGCATCCGCACCCTTCGGCAGCGTGGCCAAAGCGAGTGTCCTCCATGAGAGAATGACCTCTACGTATCTGCCAATAAACCGGTCCGCAAAGCGCGAGCGCACCAGCGCCGCAACGGTCACCGACAAACATTTCAGCATCTCGCTTACGAGCTCCTATCCCCTGCCTGGCGCCTTCCCGGGTTTCAGCCGAGATCGAGCCGCCATGGTGGTGCCGAAATCCAAGTTCGGTGGGGGGTTTCCTCCTAAATGCGCCTCTTGCTGCCGAAGGCGCCTTCTGTGGATCCTCTGCAACTGGTGGGCCGTGGTCTCATTGGGACCGTGGTGCTTGCGATTGCAGCGTCTGATGACTTCGGTTTGCCATTTCTTCCGATCAGTTGTCATGGCCCCGTTGCACTTCAGCTCGATCATGGGGCGCTTGGTTGTCAGATCGAAGCTCGCCTCCAAGTGCATGTCGGCCAGGCCCTGGTCCGCTGTGATTTGATGGATCTTTCAAATTTGCGAAGTCTTCGTTTCTCTGTGATGTTCCTGGCGTCTTGGATCTTGTCGATGATATCGTATAAATCATCCGGCCTTCGATTGGGTCGTTGCTTCTTGCTGCGACTTGTGCTGTGGTCGACCTCCTTGGCCCATTTCTCGCATGACATGCGCAAAGCACCCAAGGGCGGTTCGCCGCATAGATCGCCAGACACGCCCCGACAATGACTCATGTCCTCCATCACCATGGAAGCAAACTTGATTGAGGCCGCCCCATCCTTGGGGGCCCACTGCTTCATTGAAGGCCTGTGATCTCCCCTCCGTTTCCAGAACAGTCCCTGGGTGTTGATCTTGACATGCGCAGGATAATGGTCACTCTGTGAAGAACTCGGTACTGGCCTACGTGGCTGGTGCTCGCAACGCCCCTCGCAACCAACGCGCAATCAATCTGAGTCCCCGTCGCGCGGGACTGGCCCAGGGCAGCCCTCGTCAACCACCATTGACGTTCTGGTTCATCAAGCCACGTGTTAACTGCGCACAAACCGTGCTCGGAGCATAATAGAGTCCACAATCCAACCTTTTCCATCGCGTCGTCACTCATACCAGAAGCCATGCCACATGATTGAGGCCCACAGTGAGGATGAATTTCTGGTAGCTGTACGTTCAGATCGCCTCCCGAAAGGATCCGCTCGAATCCAATATGCCTCGCCATGCCGATCAATTCCCCCACCGCCTTGAAACATTCCACATACTCAGAGAGAGGGCAAGTGCAATCAGGTAAATACACACTAACGCATAATAAACCATTCAATATGGCAGCCACACTGTTACCACGGCAGTCGGCCCAGTGCAAAAGAGGGCGACAGGGATGGCGAAATCAGTATGGCAGCTGGGCAGCCCAATTGGTGAATGAGCCTCCAGCCAAGCACATGAACGTAACGAGGCCATCCCCCGACCTCCTGTAGTAAGCTGGTATTCGTGTCACCCATTGCAGGCGACAGCTGCTGTATCACCTCGCCCGCAGCATCGAAGTTAATGCGATTGGCATTCCAACATACTCCCCACAGCGGGCCTGGTGACCACGTCCTCCGCCCTCACTTGCGCAGGTCAGCCATGACCTGCCCCACTTTCACGTTCGGAATCAAGGACTCAAGCTCTGCCTGCTGCAAGGACCACCCTGTCGACGTGTCGAATTTCGCCAACTGTGCAGGGCGTGCGCCGCGAATGTCATACACGCGGAGCGGTGGGCCCCACTCTGCTTTCACGTTGGCCTTGGATACCCCGTGCTTCTCCAGGTAGCCAAGAAACCGGCCTCCCGCCTGCAGGTAAGGACGCCGTTCAGGGGAGGGCTCCACAATGACGTAAGGGTCGATGTCCCGAATGTAACACCCGCTGGAAATTAACGTGTCGATCCCCTTCTTGACCTTCCATGCGTCGCCCCTCTCACGGCGGTCCGCACCAAACAAATATCGATCCTAGTGAACAGTACCCGGGAGCCGCTGTTCAACGTGGCCTGGACATCAATAGGCGCCTTCGCCTCGTCACCGACCTGCACGACCAAGGATTCCACCCACGTCTTCATCTCCATCTGGGTCAGCGCTTGCTCATTGCGCTTGTTCCAGTCCGTGATGTATCCTTTCACCTCCACTTTCCGAGCAACGAAGTCCTGTCTGCCAACTGTCATGCGTGACCCACTTGCCGATCTACCTCCTCCGCCACCACCGCCCACTCCCATCGCGCTCCCTGCCGTGGATGCCGCCTCCTTCAGCTCCTGATTCTCTTTCTCCACAAGCGTGAGTCGACGCATGAGGTCCTCGAACCTGACGTTCGTGCGCTGCTCTGACTCTGCAATCTTGGCGTCCACCTGCCCCATGAATCGATTTGGACGCCCGAAATGGGTACGGAAAGAATGGGTACAATGCCCAACAGCAGTTCCTGTTCATTTTGAACAGGATTCGCTGTCCACGCCGCCGCGGCCTGTGTCCATTCGAGACAGAAGGCCGCCTGCCCAACAGCGGCCGCTGTTGGTTTGGGACAACATTTGTTGTTGGGCATAGTGCCCATTTTTTCCGTACCCATTTCGGGCGTCCAAAACCGAGACATCAGCTCCTCGCGCCTGGCTCCCCAGCGCGTGTCCGACGAGTCGACCGCTTGCTTGATGGCGTTGTCCACCAGCTTGGTCATGAACCCCCTCCATGCCATCCGAGAGCTTCTGGCGCTTCTCGGGAGGCACGCCGCCCTCCTCCAAAAGACCTCCTCCTCCTCCTCCTCCTCCTCCTCCCCCTCCTCCCCCTCCTCCTCCTCTTCCTCCTCATCCTCCTCCTCCTCCTCCTCCCCCTCCTCCTCCTGTTCCTCCTGTTCCTCCTGTTCCTCCTGTTCCTCCTGTTCCTCCTGTTCCTCCTCCACCCTGCCTCCCCCTCCTGCCTCCTGCCCTCGGAAGGAAGGGGGTTGGGGGAGGATGAGAGGGAGGGGCGAGGAGGACAGGTAGAAGACGAGGTGGAGGATGCGGAGGGAGGGAGGGAGTGGGCGAGGAGGGGGCATGATAAGGGGACAGGAGGAGGAGGAGGAGGAGGAGGAGGAGGAGGAGGAGGAGGAGGAGGAGGAGGAGGGAGGAGGGAGGAGGGAGGAGGGAGGAGGGACGAGGATGAGGCGGAGGAGGAGGAGGAGGAGGAGAAGGGGAGCGGGGGGAGAAGTTGACGAGGACGCAGAAAGACATACTAGAACTAGGTATCCTCCTCGGATGCGTGCGTCCGGCCCGAACATCCAGCACAAGCATTTTGTAGTACATCGTTTCCCGAGCGGCGTGGCCAGAAAACGCCCGCCACGGAGCTTGTACTACAAGAATTCTCGGCGCGCGCGTCGCCCCTGGGGGGCGATGTGCACATAGCATTCGTGTGTTGGGCGGCGCCGAGTGGAGGAGGGCCAGCAGTAGTAGCAGCAGCACTGGCAGCAACGGCGGCAGCCTCGCGGACCGTGTGACCTCGGCCGCGGGCTGGCCGACTTTGTAGACCTCATGCTCCCCATTGACCTCCCGCGGCTAGCCGTGGCTCTTGACGCACGGAATCCTTCCCGATGCAGGAGGAAAGTGATGAGCAGAAGGACAGGGGGGGAGCGAGCGAATGGGCGAGCCACGCGGGCATGCCCGTCGGCTGCTCGGCCCTGTGCCGGGCACGGGCGAGCAATCAGTCGACCAGCCAGACAGCGAAGATGTGAAACATGAACGGAACATGGAGTTGGGATTTCGGAGAGATGCAGAAGAGGGAGGAGGAGGTGGAGGAGGAGGAGGACGAGGAGGACGAGGAGGAGGGAGGAGGAGGAGGAGGAGGAGGAGGAGGACGAGGAGGAGGAGGAGGGAGGAGGAGGAGGAGGAGGAGGAGGAGGAGGGGGAGGGGACAAATGCGTCGGAGAACAGCCGGAGGGGCGGGGGAAGCGCGGGAAACGGGGAGGAGGGGCGAGGGAGAAGAAGGGAAGCCACGGGAAAGGGAAAAAGGATATGCT